AAGGTGAATGAATCAATTCACACACATACATACACACACACACACATACACACACACACACCCTCACACACACACACAAACAAACAAACAACAACAACAACATCAACAACAACAACAACAACAAAAAAAAAACCCGGGAGGGGGGAGAGGAAGATATAACAACCACAACTTTTTTTTTTGAAGTTCTTACAACAAGAAAATGGAGGGGACACACCTGGGTGGGAGGGGGGAGAGGGAGGAGGGAGGGAGGTTTCGGTGATGGGACACAATAACTAACTACATTGTATATTGACAAAATAAAAATAATAAAAATAAAATTAAAAAAATAAAATAAAGTCAGGCCTAAATGAAATACTAGAAGAGATATAAAGTAAAACTTAAAGTTTATTTGTCATTTTCTTTGCAGGCTTTCTTAGGTAAAGTATAAAAATAGTTTTGCACTGTAATTTTGGCATCAAATTGCCTGATGTAATTGACACTAAAGTTCTTCATATTTGCTTTCTTAACAGTCATTTATTACAAGAAACGATTTCAGTTCAGTAATTTGTTCATGTTAAATTCAGCTCAGAAAATTTTCTATTAAGAAATAACTCTTAAATGTAATAGCTTAGTTTTGGGTCTTACATTTAAGTCTTTAATTCATTTTGAGTTGATTTTGGTATATGGCGAGAGATAGGGGTCTCCAATCTCCAATTTTCCCAGCACGATTTACTGAAGAAACTGTCCTTTTCCTAATGTATGTTCTTGGTTCCTTTGTCAAAAATCAGTAGGAGTAGGTACGTGGATTTATTTATGAATTCTCTATTCTGTTCCAGTGGTTTATGTGTCTGTTCTTGTGCCAGTACCATGTTGCTTTGATTGCTATCACTTCCTAGCACAGTTTGAAGTCAGATAGTGTGATTTCCCTTCTTAGTTATTTTTGTTCAGGATTGCTTTGGCTATTTGAGATCTCTTGTTCCATATACATTTTTGAATTGTTTTTTTCTTTTTCTGTGAAGCATGTCATTGGACGTTTGATGGGGATTGCAATTAATCTGTAGATCACTTTGGGTAGTATGGTCATTTTGATGATATTGATTTGTCCACTCCATGAGCATAGGATGCCTTTCCATTTTTGTGTCTTCTCTAGTTTCTTTAGTCATTGTTTTATCAATTTTATTGTAAAGATCTTTCATCTCCTTGGTTAAATTGGTTAAATTTATTCCTAGGTATTTTGTTGTTGTTGTTGTTGTTGTTGTTGTTGTTGTTGTTGCTATTGTGAATGGGATAGCTTTCTTGATTTCTTTTTCCATTAGTTTGTTGTTGGTGTATGGAAATACTAATTTTTGTATGTTGATTTTGTATCCCAGAACTTTAACGAATTTGTTTATCAGGTCTAGGAGTGTTTTGGTAGAGTCTTTACTAAATCATGTCATCAGCGAACAGGTTGAACTTGAATCCCTCCTTTCCAATTTGGATGCCCTTTATTTCTTTCTTTTGTCTAATTGCTCTGGCTAAGACTTCAAGTACTATGTTGAATAGAAGTTGTTAGAGTGGGCATCCTTGTCTTGCTCCAGTTCTTAGAGGGAAAGCTCTCAGGTTTTCCCAACATAGTATGATGTTAGCTGTGTGTTTGGCATACCCTTTATTAAGATACTTCCCTTCTATACCTAATTTATTGAGAGTTTTTAATCATGATGTTGAATTTTATCAAATGTTTTTTCTTCATCTATTGAGGTGATCATGTTTTTTGTTGTTGTTGTTGTTGTTGTTGTTGTTTTCTTTCATTCTGTTGATGTGATGTATTACATTTATTGATTTGCCTATGTTGAAAAATCCTTGTACCCTGGGATAAATTCAAATTGACCATGGTGTATAATATTTTTGATTATGCTGTTGTATTTGGTTTACTAATATATTATTGAGGATTTTTGTATCTGTATTCATTAGGGATATTGACCTGTAGTTTTCTTTTTTGTTTCATCCTTGCCTGGTTTTGATATCAGGGTAATGCTGGCCTCACATAGTAAGAGTTTGGAAGAATTCCATTCACTTCCTCTTTTTTTCAAATAATTTAAGAAGTATTAGCATTAGTTATTCTTTAAAACTTGTAGAAGAAAACAGGGGGGAAATTTCAGGACATAGGTTTGGGCAAAGATTTTATAAATAATCATTCAGAAGCACAGGGAACAAAAGCAAAAAATTGACAAATGGGATTACATTAAACTAAAAAGTTTCTTCACAGCAAAGAAAGCAATCAACAGAGCAAAAGGACAACCTGAAGAATGGGAGTAAATATTTGCAATATATGCATCTGACAAGGTATTCATATCTAAAACATGTGAAGAACTCAAACAACTCAATAGTAAAAAGACAAAAACTCAGATTGAAAAATGTGCAAAGGATCTGAAGAGACATTTTTCAAAAGACATACAAATGGCCAGCAAATATATGAGAATATGTCCAACATCACTAATCCTCAGAAAAATGAAACTCAAAACCACAATGAGATGTCATATAACCCCAGTTAGAATGACTATTACCAAAAAGACAAAAAAAAATAACAAATGTTGGCAAGGATGGGGAGAAAGGAGAATTCTTATATATTTTTGGTG